AGGGCTGCCTGTGGTTCGATTCAGGAAGAAAGTTGCAATCCTCTGAGCTCTACAAGATTAGCAGAAATGTGTTGGATTGTGCTGAGAATTGCAAAACCACAGAGCAGAAGCAAAATCCAACCCAGAGACACACCTGTACACATTTCCCTTTAAACCCCCACTAGTACAGTTCCCCCAGCCCCGTTCCAGCCCCTGAAGAGGTGGGCTTGTTATAAAGAGAAAAATAACATTCCACTGGCATCAGTGGAGGCTTCCTTCCTTTTAAATACCCCTTGTGTGTGTTTCTGTCTCCCCTCCCAGTGCGTGGTGATCCCAGTCATAAATCATAAATAAAAATCTAACCTTCAGCTACCCTCTGGGTGAGTGGCATAGGCACTACTTTGGCTCTAGGAAACCTTGTCCTTTTAACCCATTAATAAATGGACCCACTCTGGGCTGCTTTGGTCCAAAAAACTATTGCACCTGTATGAAGTCCTTGTGCAATTTCCCCTTGAGTAAGAAAAAGATCTGCCCCAAAACATAAAAGAGCAAATGTGTCAGATTTAAGTATAAAGGCTCTTTTTGCAGACTGGTTTATGATGAAGGAGAAACACATTACACTGCACAGGTGGGGGGAAGGAATCCTGATCCTAAAATTACAACGCAGGCCAGGCCTGGCACATAAACCTTCCACCCGCAGGGATGCTTGTACCCAGCAGCTTGAAAAGCAGGCTTTTGAGTCGCCGCTCTGCAGCCCAGAGTTGGTGTGCTCTCATCCCCTCTTGCACGGCCTCGGTGTCGATGCCCCCAAGCCTCCAAGGATGTCGTGAGGACTGGGACTGGGTGAAATGGAGGGACTCTGCAAAGGTTTGCTGCAGGAGAAGGGGAAGACGGGAGAGTTTTAGCACCACCACCGTGCTACTGCTCGCACTATGCAAATCGGCCAAAATCTATGCCCTCTGAAACACTGTGTTTCGCCTTTAACGGGGTGGTGAAGGTGTGGTGGTTCTCATCTTGATGGTCTCAGGCTCATGTTCTGGGTTAATGGGAAAGTGAAGTTTTCGCCCCAAGACAAGTGACTTAGAACAGAACAGAATTAGAGCTGAGAGGGGCCTCTAAGGCCATTGAGTGCAGCCGTGTTTGGCTTCCCGCATGTGGTCACCCATCTGGCTGCTGAGCAAAGGTGAGTTGACATGTGAGGTCCATGTAGAGCTATGCAGATGATGCAAAGATGTCAAAAGCAAGATGATCAACAGCTACCAGTGGCATTGGCAGGACACTACCTCTAGGATCAAAATCACATGCCCCCAAATAAAAGCCACTTTTCCTATGTTCGTAAGCATGGAGAGCCAGCCTGGTATGGCAGATACAGCGCTGAACTGGGGTTTAGGTCTCTTGGGACTGGTCACTGACTTTCAGCCTACCCTACCTCACAGGGTTGTTCTGAGGACAGAACAGAGGAGGAGGAGCTCACACACCACCTTGGGTTCCTTGGGATATAAAAGCAACAAGCTTTTCATTTTCATGCAAATGAAACAGGAAGACAATGAAACACACATTCCTTCCAGTCCAAGAAAGGGAAACCTTCCTGTTTAGAACACCTTCAAGTTTATTATCTTATAAAAATGAAAGAACAAGTACATAAATAATCGTTACAAGTATGCATCTTGGGAAGAGCAGGGTGGGTAAAGGACTGCTCAACCCAACCCAACCAGCTATGGGGTGTATTCGTTAATCTTAAGCAAATTCACTAGACTGGCTTCTCCTTTTTCTTAAAAAGTTGTTATGATACAAATAAATACATGACCTTACATCCCGCCTGTCTTACCACAAACACAAAAGGAAGTTCATCTTTCTTTCAAAAATAGTAGATATAATAACAGGGAGTGTACATTTTCCAACAATCTTCCACCCCATCTCTCCGCTCAGTGGTGCATTTTCAGAAGGCGGTGCACTGCCTTGCCTACTAAATCTGGATCTTAGATGCTCACTAAGTTACCCTGGGAGAGATGTGCACTTGGAAAGCACAGCCCTGTAGACTGGACTCCATGGCGTCGAATTAGCATCCTGCACTGGGCTTGCGAAAGCTACTTCTTAATAGCCCAGGGAGCACCTGATATGCAGAAGCCATTGCTGTGTCCTGGTGTTCCACTGGGCCGAACCACTGGCCCAACAAGTCGAGCCTTTTCTACAGTAGCTTTCCATGGCTTTGGACAGGACCCCCCCCACACACACCACCACCAAGGGGATGGTTGGACCACAGCCAGGAGCCCACAGCTCAGCAAAGGTCCCCTGGACAGGTCCCTCTTCTCCACCACTGCAGCCTCCTTGCTCGTATTTGCCTCTTGTCCAGAGTGCTGCAGGTGAGGAGGTTGAGCAGGTGGCCCCAGGTGCTTCCTCACCGGCCCTTCACCTGGGAAGTGAGGCAGTGCTAGCAGTGATGGGAAAGAGGAAGCGGAGGAAGAGCAGCTGGGGACACGGTCAGTGAGAAGCAGTCACTTGAGAAGATACTGACTTCTATCAAACGTGGGACTTTTTTTATGATTGGCTAGCGAAACGGGACTTGGCTTAGATTTAAAGATGTCTTTAAATTTTTATAAATCGATTTGAATGTGATTATAGAATGTTAAAAAGATATGTTATAGGGGGCTGACCCAGTATGTCCGATGTAATTGAGGATTGATTTTTTTAGTTTTTAGTTTAAAATCTTAATAAAAAATGTGCAAAAAAAAAAAAAAAAGAGAGAGAGAGAGAGAGAGAAGCAGTCACTTGAGCAGTGGGGCAGCGGCAAATGTAGAAGTGGGGGTCCCCTCACGATAGGCAGAGCCACACTTCAAAGCCACGCCCCATCCAAGCCACGCCCTTTCCCAAGATTATGCAAACTGGTTTTTTTTTTATTATGCAATTAAATGAGCTTGATCGGTTTGTTTGAATTTCTGTGGAGTAATGAATGAAAAAGGAGGGCATCTCTTTCTGAGTTGAAGCAATGCGAGCTTCTGGAAGTTATTTCCTATTAGCCTGTTTATTATGAATGAATGATTTTTTAATCACATTCATACCCTACTCTCCAGCCAGAAAGGTCCCAGGGCGGCTTATAAGGCAGCTCCTGCCTGCGGGCTTACTGTCTAAAAACATGACATTCAAGGGGAAAGGGACAGGGAATGAAGAGGAGAAAGGAAACTTGGGTGCGAGCGACCCACACTTGTAGAAACATGTGCAGCTATATTCTCCCGAGAGCAACAGTCTGGATTGACAACCCAGGTGCCAGCCCTGCATCTGCAAAAGCAAAACTCTTGGGAGGCAGAGGGAGGGACCGTGACCCTTCAGAGATCAAGCATCCTTCCTGGGAGCCCCCTCCGACCTGCTGTGGGTCCCCTCCACCCCACCCTTGCACCTGAGGGAGGTGCTCATGGAGGAGTCTTGCCCAGAGGGCCTCGAAACCTTGGAGCCAGTGCTGCGGCCGGTGTTTTTTAGGGTGTGCTCCATCATGGAGCCAAGGGTCCTGCCTTAATGTGTCCTTGTTCTCCCCCTCCGTCCCTCCTTCTCGCCTCCTCTTATAAGTTTGTTGGGCACCACATGGGCCAAAGCACCTCCTCTCAGCTCCTCCCCGAGCAGAACGATGTGTGCCAATAGTACCACTGCGATGCTACAGATACGTATCCACCGATGCACGATGCTGCAGCTGGCCTAGTTAAAAGGGTAGGTGCGGGTGCAGGCTGCGACTCTTGCAGTGAAGGCTGACCAGCTTGCGAGTGTGTGAGCAGCTGTCCTTAAAATAGCAGAGAGGAGCAGCGCAAGAGCTTTACTCCTCTGCTTCAGTCCCCATCTAGATCAGGGAATGTGCTCCATGCAAAGGGCGGCAGCCCCTCCCCTATGAGACCCATGCCTGCTATTTTATTCCATAAAACATCCTGCAGTGGCTAATTGTGTGAGCGGTATAATAGCTCGCATTCACTGCAGCAGAGAATTGCAACCATAAAGGGCCATTCCGTGCTCCCGCGATGTGGCTACGTAAAGGCAGCCCTGCGAGAGCGAGGCCTGCGGAACGAGGGACCACCGGAATACAGCTCTGGGCTAGCTGCACTGTCCTAGCTGTTCACATTTCTTTCCCAGGATGTATCGACAGCACAGAAACGTGCAAGCCAGTAAAAATGAGCCTTTCTCCCAAACTCTGCGGGGGGAGGGGGCGGGGACAGGAAAAAAAGAACGAAGGTGGCTAATTCGGCTGTTCGGGGGCCAAGTACACATTCCATGCTAGTGCGTGCGAGGCTGCCTTTTGCTAGTTTTCCAAAGGCGACGTTGCTTTGGAAAGTGAAGGAGATTTAGAGTGGGGACAGCGTGGGGGGAAAGGGACAGCTTAACCCTTCCGCCATCAGCTGTTTTTCAGCCCAGGACACCTTCCACAGTAATTTCCCCTCTAAGGGATTCCAGCTCTATCTTCATGAAGGTTATGCTATTCTCCTCCTTGTCTATTTGTAACAGCTCCCAAACCTACTTTGCTTAAAAGAAAAGGGTGGGTGGGAAGGCGTAAAGGCACAATTACACATGATAGTATGCCGTGTGTCATCAGTCTGAAACCTAACTTTACATTTTCCAGCTCTCCAACAGAGTTGTCTTTGTGTTTTCTTTTCCAGTGAGGAACACAACAATCCACACGAGTCATTCAAAACTTGCATTCAGGAGAGGAGACTCTGTCGTTGCTGACTTCGGTCCATCCACTTGGCCTTCTCCTGATCAGACACTTGCCAAAGTGAACCTTTCCAAAGCCTTGAAGCAAGGACCCTTTGAAGTGAAATGAGAACCCGTCCTTCCTCTCCAGTCAGCAATACAGAACCTCCTAGTCATTCAGGGAGATATTTAAAGGCCTGACACAGATCTATGCACAAAGCAGCAATGAGATGAATATTGGCGTTATAAGTTTGGTTTTTAGGGCACTGGAAAGACAAGCAAAACACGTCCACAGTCCAGTGGCAGATCCGTGTCTGTCCCGCTTTTCTCACATTTCCCTCTCCAGTGCTCTCTTAACAGTGGTCTTTTTCAGACTTCTCAAGATACAAAACCTTTACCAGATCTTCCAGTTCAGTCCTGCATACTCGGCTTTTGCACATTTGATTTATCTGAGCTTCTCCCTCGCTGAATATTTTCCACTGGCCTAAAACAGACAAACAAAAAAGCAGGGGAAAATCAGCTTCCAAGCAGAGAGGACAACAAAGACACGACATCTGGTTCCAAATTGAGGAGAAGATGCCATTCATGCTTGCATGGTTTCCTTAAGAGACTGATGCCCCCCCGCCGCAAAAACAAGCAAACAAATAAACAGCACCCTCCGCCCCGTTTGGGTCTTGCTGGTTCATACAGGCCAGGTCTGTAACTGGAAGACTATAACATAAAGTGGCCATGAGCAAAGAGGGCACCATTCCGTCCGGGTCTGTATTCTTTCGCGGGATCAAAGTTGCAAACATCTGGCCAAAAACAACTGTGAATTCTGAATCATCCCAATGCCTCACTATCGCGTAGCATGGAAATCTGAAGTCAGTCACGGAGTATTGCAGAGGAAATGCAGGGTGCGCTTGTAATTTCGAGGCGGTGGGCTGCTCTTTCTCCCTTCAGAGCTTCATCACCTTTTCAGCCTGCATCCTTAACTAGTTAAGTGTATTACATGCGCACTGAGTTGTTATTATTGCTACTTTACACTTATACCACACCTCTCTTCCTTTTACAAGGAACTCCAGGTGCCTTACAAGATTCTCCTTCTCTCCACTGGATCCTTTTCTCATATTTTAGCTTGAAGCCCCTACTGCTGGGAACTGAGTCCTAGGAAAAGTGGCAGTTCAGTCCTTCAAAATGGGGTAAAAACCCGGGAGAAAAGGGACTGGGCCACTAGAGAGGGCATGGCTATTTGACACACCCTGAAGGGCTGGTTCAGGACTGAGGGATGGAGGTAGATTTGGCTGCCAGGCTCATAGTTTCAACCCCTGCAGTACAAGAAAAGTTCTACTCTGAGTAAACTGTGAATAGAATCCGGTCCACTGTGGAATAGACAGATGCACCTTCTCCACTGATGCAGCAGTAAGGGAGAGAGTGCCTTCTCAAACAACCTGTTCTCAAGCAGATGAGGATGTTATTCCCCAGTAACAGAATCTTAAACCTGGCCTGGTAGCAAAGAGGTGGCAGGTGTGACAAGATGACCGAGGGACATCACTAGCTGCAGTTTCTGCAGGGGGCTTAAAGGCAGCCCACATAAACTGGGTTCAGACACACACATGCAGGTTCAGTAAGACTTGAATGGGGATAACTGGTAAATTGTGGGTTGTTGGTGAAATGTAGGTTATCATGTGGTCTGAACCCAGCTGTGCTAACAAGGCATGGCTGAAGCAAGAACGACACATGAAGAGAGCCCATGGCTTGTTGCTGAGTCATGAACTGTGGGCTGTTCAGTGCAGGGGTTTATTTCAGCGGGGTTCAGATGATCTGATAAGCCACCTCTCAACCACAACCCACAGTTGATGTTTCACAACCACCCACGACCCACACTCAACTCAGGCTGAGCACACGGAATGCTCTACGGTGAATCTTGAGACCACGAGGGAGACATTCCTTTTCATATCATGCTCACTTGAAGGCATCTCTGAAGGGTCACTCTAAGGTTTGGCTTACACTGCGAAAAATTCCAAGTTCGTAATTTAAGAGCAATGGCCTCTGGCAAGCCAGCGAGGAGCTGTTGGGTGACGGAGCCCTTGCAAAATACCTCAGGTCAGGTTTCCACTTGGGTCCGAGGAACTGTGCATTCCACCCATCTCTTCATCTCAGAGATTTTTGGAGCTGATGAGAGATGGGCTAAGAGTGCCTGAGCTTGGCAGTACTTCTGAACTCCCAGTAGACCTCAGCTCTTGATTTGCTCACTGGCCATGTAAACAAACTGGTCAAAATGAAACAAGGGGTTGTTTTCCTAGTATAATTGACCATACAAACAGTGGTGTGATTCACACTCATGACATGAAGGTCAGAATATGTTCCAAGTGTTAGTCCAACACAGAATAAATCCAGTGAAATGTTAGATTAACACTGGCTGCAACCCCAGTGGCTGTGCTGGAATAAAAGATCTGTTTCGTTTGTTGAAAGTGCTGCTCCAGAGGATTCAGTGTTACATTCCAGAACACAAACATCTGAGGACAACGGTGCATTTACTGCAATCGCCGTGCAATCCTAGAGACCCTTACCTGGATGCCAGTCCCACTGAATTCAGTGGGGCTAATTTCTGAGTAGGCATTTGCAGAGATGTGCAGCAACCATTGCCCAGGGATGGAGGAGATGGAAAGCTCCTTTGTGTCCAACACACAGAAATTGGCACCCTTAGTAGATTAGGGCTGCTGTCCTATGCAGACTTCCCTAGGACTAATTCCCACAAAACCAGCAGAAATTCCTGTGGATTGAAGATGCTAGCACAGGTGTGGGTAGGCAAGGTGGTTTCATAGAAAATATTCTGATGCTGAGCGATCACGATAAGTAGGGTGGACTTACTCAGAGTGGTCCTCGTCATCTGCTTGAAGTGGGGCAGTTCCATGAACGCCTCCTTGGATACCGTCTCTGTATCAAAATGGCTCAGGATACCTGCGGCAATGCAGAAGAGCAGGTTGGGAGAGGGCCTGCACCATGTCTCCTGGCTCCGGGTCTCACATTCCTTGATTGTGCAGGGGAACAACAACTTTGCAGGGGAATCGCAACTTTGCGGCATGCAAAGCATCATCTGGATTTTCAGCGTGCCTTAACTTTCCCTAAATGCTGATGGCAAGTGAAGGGATCTAATGATTTAATGCCCAGCCCTTCCTCAGAGCCTAGTAGAGCTGGAAGGGGCCCAGAAGGCCACTGGGTCCAACCCCCTGCTCTTTCAGGACACCAAGTTGCACCATCCCACCCAGGTGGCTGTCCAGGTACTTTTCGAATGTCTCCAGTGTGGGAGAGCCCACCACCTCCCTAGGCAGCTGGTTCCAGTGTCACATTGCTCTGACAGCGAGGAAACTTTCCCTGATCTCTACCCCGAATCTGGGTCAGCATAGCCCTCCGCATGAGAGTCAGACTGCCAGGCATCATGCCAGCAGCCCTCCTAAAAGAATTATCCCCTGCTCTTCCCTCCGCATTCCTCTTTCCTTTTATGTCATATCTTTTTAAGCAGCAACCCTGTGGCCAGAGATGTCCTGTAGGATGTTCTTTCTTAATTACATTTGAAAAAATCTGAGCAGGGCTGTGAAAGCCAGTGCAGTGCAGCAGTGAAGAGGATGGGTCAGGGACGCAGGTGACCTGGGTTCGAGTCCCCACTCAGCCTGGATCCAGCTGTGTGACTTTGGGTCAGTCACAGACTTTCAAAACCTATCCCACAGGGTTGTTGGGCTAAGATTGAGAGCAGGAGGAAGAGAAGGATGTAAGCTGCGAGTTCGTGGGAAAAAAATGGGCTATACATCCAGGAATAAATACATGAATACCTATTCTGTATCGGATTGCCCCCAAACACAGCTGTCTCGCCATCTCTGCCCGGACTGATGACAGAAGGAGAATGCACTCAGCTTACCCTCCCGGATGGTCCACACGTGGATCTCCACCCGTGATGCCTGATTTCTTTCCACAGCTATTTTTCGGAGGGTTCCCCCCTCCTCCGTGAGCACAGCTTCATAGACTGGAAGGGTCTCTTCACCGCAGAAATAGACCTTCCTGTCGGCAGTATGGCTTTCGATTTCTTCTGCAAGAGGGAATAAAGTGTCACCTCCTTGACAGATGGATCGATCGAGCCGTCCCCTCCCCTCTTCTCCAAGGAACACATGGCAAATCGCACTGCCCACAAATTAAATCTTCTGTGCTTATAATACCATCGTTCCAGTGGGGGAAAGGCAATGGCAAAATGCAGAGAGAGGCAATGCAGGGCCGGTCGCCTGCTCTCTGGGTGTCCCTCTCCCGGGGTGCGCGTGACTGCAGGAGAAGGAATAAGCCATGGCGCTTCACTTGCCCGCTGCCTGTCCCAGCAAGACCCACTCAATGACTCTTGTCCCTGCAGGTTGCCACATCCTGTGAACTTGGGGGGCATGGCTTGTGGGGAGCGGCAGCAAGCCAAATTATCCAATAAGCCACTCCCAACATGCCGGCCCACCTGGGCTGATGTGATCCGGAACCTGGCTAGTGAGGGCAAGCAAGCAAGTCAGGCTGGCTTGCCATGGCCCAGCAGGTGGGAGGAAGCAACCCTCTTGGCGTCTTTGCTCCACATGGCAATGCAGCCAGGACCTTGCAGGTGGACACAACGGATGGCTGCCTTGCCATGGCCGGCTGGAGAAAGCTTGGAATGACGCAACTTCCTTTTGTCTAAAACTGCATGAAGTTCCACCCTAGTGGCTGAAACAAAATTTAAACCAGCAAAGAACCACAGGGCGGTTATTTTTCCATGCGCCAACCACGGCAGTGCAAAGCTATACATACTTACTCAGGTGTAAGGCCCACGGCGTTATGGGGCTCGCCCTGGGGAAACCGGCAGAGCTTCGTTGCTCAGGAGGCTCAGCCTGAGTCATGGAACATCCCCTCTAAATCCTTGCCAATTCCTACCTGGGCAGACTTTGCAGCATTTCCCTTCGATCTTCTTTGGCTGCGTGCAAGGATACTGCTCAGGGCAAGACACCTTTTTGCACTCCTGCTTGGTGACATTGCAAGTACACAGCACGCACTCCACAATTCCATAGGATCGGAGCGTGGGATGCCAGGATTCCCCGTGGGAGTAGGTTTTTCCATTCGAAACACACACTGATGACCAATGAGAGAGGGGGAGGGAAAGGGGGAAGGAAAAGGAGACCTTAGATGTGCGCAGCATGTACCCAGCAGCCCAAATCTTGCCCCCAGTTGTATGTGCCGGGGCACACACACCATCAACCTGGCCACAAGGCCCTGGCTGTGCGCAGCTCAGAAGGGACACGTTCTTGTGCACGTGCATTTTCTGTACATATCAGGGATACGTGGGATTTTGGATGAAGACAAAAGCAAGGGTGCAGGGTTCTAGGCTCGTGTTTTCCTGCCTCTGAGTTTATGCCTGCCTGCCAGATATGGTTAAAGATTTCATGACGAAAGGCAAACTGAAATTAGGAACACTGAAGATTTCTTCCAGTCAGAATCCCCCACCCCTCCAGGCTCTTTTGAGGCTCTCTTGATGCAGATCTGAATTGCCACGCTCAGTGCTCATGTTTAATGCGGAGTTGCTGAGATTCGCATGCGTGGACTTCTTGTGGATCCAAGCCAGAATGCCACAGATGCACTCAAGTTCTAGCAGCGTGATTCTATGCAAGCAAATCAGGAGTGAACCCCATGGAAGTCCTCCCAGAGAGATGTGCAGAGGACTGCTGCTGCTGTTGTTATCTGCCAGATTTCCACGACAACCGAGAGCTGGTGCTGCGGCTACGCACACCTAGCTGGGAGAAATCTGCCAAGCGAGACGGAGAAACAAATTGGGCCGGCTGCCATGCAAATGTACCCTCAGGGCCTTTCTAAACATCTGCAGTGAACTTCATGGCTGCTGATTTGGAATGCCAGGAATCTGGAGTGGTGTCGTTTGCAGCCAAATGTGTGACAACAAAACCGTGTCTTGTATGGGAGTTTCTCACCCATGGAGACGCCGCATCCTCTCTTCCCTGGGGGAAAGCAGTGAGCTAGCAAGTGGCCACTGCAACAATTTTTTTTTTTGCTGTGGGCCCGGTGGAGACCCGCTGCTACCTTTTGTGGCATTTTCTGACTCTACAGAGAGGACTGGTGTTAGAAAAACAGCCACAACAGCCCAAGGCTTGGAGCATGCTTTGTACACTAAGGCTTTTCACAGTGGAAAAGAAAAAAAATCAGTTTTCTAGGCATGCGTGGAGTGTTTTCCTACGGCTACTGGGAATGAATAAGGAAAACACACCAAAGGTTAAAAGCAACAATTCACAAGCAAGGATGAGCGTATCTCATGCCACATGGGTGGGAGTGTGTATGTATGGGAGTTGGCTCAGAATTTGGAAGCTAGAGCTCACCTAGTCATGTACTCTTAGGGGATGTAAACAGAAAATCGATGTTCTCCAGTTTGGGCCAGCGTTACTGACTAGTCAGAGTCAACCTTTGCACTTAATCCTAAGTCAGGAGATGTGACTCCCAGGCAGACTTTAGATAAATCCCCTTTGAGTCTTTTTTTGACATTAGTTAGCTTCCCAACTCAAGCTAAGTTCAGCAGCTTGAGAAAGATGCAGGCAAGCTGGAAAGGGTTCAGAGGAAGGAAATGAGGATGACCTGGAGAGTGAAAACAAAGCCCAGTGAGAAGAGATGGAAAGATTGGGCATGTTTAGTCTGGAGAAGACTGCGGGGAGATGTGATCACGCTCTTCAAGTACTTGAAAGCTTGCCACAAAAAGGAAGGGCAGATCTCTTCTTGATCATCCCAGAGTGCAGAACATGGAATAATGGGCTTGAGTGACAGGAAGCCAGATTCCGGCTATATATCAGGGAGAACTTCTGGACTATGAGAGCAGTACAGCAATGGAATAAAAGTCCTAGGGAGGTGGTGGGCTCTCCCACAGTGGGGGCCTTCAAGATGCAACTGGACAGCCATTTGAGAGGGATGGTTTAAGTGGGAGCCCTGTACTGAGCAGGGGGTTGGACCCCATGGCCTTATACAGCCTTTCTAACTCTATTATTTTGCTACTGTTGCAACTTGGGGATTTTCTTTTTAAGAAACTCGCCTGCAAACCATGAGGAGTGTGTGTCAATTTCTCAGGAACTCCCAAATTGGGAGAAGGAGGGTTGCTGGCATGTCCTTCTCAGCCTGGGGCAGTTGAGCCTTACAAAGGGCCATAAGAATCTCAAACTCTATGATAGCCCTGCCTCTGACCTTTTGAAGTTACCACTCCAGTTAATTAACAACACTCATACTAATTGCATTGAAAATAAGAAAAAAGGCCCTGTCAGCATTCTTGTTTCCATTCAGGGGGAAACAAGACAAAACAAAACAAAGCAAAGGCTCTTGGACTTTCCACAAAGCGGTGCCCAAGCCCCTGAAAACTGCCCCCGTTGTGGGATTGCACATGGGAAATGTGCTATTAATTTGAAGGCTTTTTATGTACCGAAGCAAATCAGTTAGAAATTGCTTTGATGATATCTCTGCAAGTGAACTGGGGGTCGGAGACACTACAGCAGGCGGGGACTTCTTGCTTTGAGATCCAACATGAAACATTGGCTCGAGCCAAATGTTATTCCATGATTGTTCAGGTGGATAATAAAGACTCCATAGCCAACATTCCTTCAGTTAGTTAATACCTTAAAAGATTAGTTGGCCATAAATCAAAGGCTTTCAATATGTCGTGGGCTACTTGTGAGAGCCCACGGACTGTTGGCTTTGTGCAGAACCGCTTTTTCGGCATCCAGATCTTTCTAGTCCTCTGGAGGTTATGCTTTGCGGCCCTTCAAGGCCAGCTCACACAGTCCTGCTGCTGGAAATTTATGAGTCTGTTGGGGTGCTCAGCCCCTGCTCTACGGGGCCCTGAAATCCTCATTAGAACCTGAGAGTCTTTGATGGAACCAGTTGCAGGATTGTGGCTCGACTTCAGGGAGCAAGCCCAGGGCTCCACATCCCAGTGACCTCCAGAGAAGGTGAGAGATGATGTGCGGGGGGGGGGGGTACAGTGGAAAACAGAGCTGGTGGTAGCAGTGGTTTTGGGAACCCATGTTTGGCACTCCTGCTTTGAAGGAGAACAAGAAAGAAAGTAGGCATCTTTCTTAAACTGTGAGCAGAAGGAATGGGAGGGTTACGTCTGGATCCCCCACCCCATAAAATTCCATGAATAAGGCCGGCTCATAAAATCCTTGCCTGGAAGCACCTTCAAGCAGAGATCTCCAGAGATTACATCGGGTTTGGTGCAAAGATTTTGCTTACAAAGATATTCAGCTTTCCCCACCACCACGAGGTCTAGACTTCTTATGTCCAACCCATAACCATTCAAAATGGAATGCGCTCCTCTCTCAGCCCTTCAGATAGGAGACAGTCCTCTAAAGTTCTATAATCAGAAGAGCAATGTGAAAAACAATGAGATATTCCTCTACCTCGCCCGTGCTTATGCTTGTTGTTGAGCACAATCTGTACTATGGTCCCGGAGCCCTGCTGCAGGTCCGGGAGGGCTCCTCTGTTGCTCCTTCCACCAGCGAATCGTGGGATGTTGGCCGTTTGCCTGGGATTGTTGGGTGGTCCCTCATAATGGAAGCGATGTGGGGAGTGCCTCTGAAGGGTAGACAGGGAGAGAGGGAATGGAAGATCCTCATGAGAACAAAGGCATTTGGGAAGGCTTTTGTATGACTTTTCTTCCGGAGCCTCTGTTGCCAGGTATACATCCTAAAAGGAGAGCAGTATCCAAAGGGGTAGTTTGATGACAGGAAAACCAACAAAGAACTTGTAGCATCCTGAAGGTTAAAGTATTGGTGGCAGCAGAAGCTTTGTCAGGATAGAGCCAAATGCATGCAGTGGACAATGAAAGGAGTCAGCGGGGCATCATGGTGAGAACGGTGGACTGGGAGGGACTCTCAAGATCTGGGTTCCAGTCCCGTTCAAGCCATGAATGCGCTCAGCAACTGTGGGCCGGTCACTCATTCTCATCCTAAGCTACTTCACAAGGTTGTTGTTATGAGGATCAGATGGAGAAGTGGAAGGTACTGTATGCTGCCTTGAATTTCTTGGGCGGGGAAAAAGAGGATATAAATGTAATAAATGAATAATTATGGGTGCATGGAGGTATAACAGAAAAAAACCTAAAAAGAAAGCCAAGAGGGAAAGACTGACCATTATCCAATTAAACATTTTCAGGTAGCTACCTGATTTTAAGCCTCTCCCAGTTCTGACAGTTAATTATTTATATTTATTGACATGTGTCCATGTCCCTCTTGGCCTTCTCCACTGTCTGTTCCATGCATTTGATGGTTGGGTACAGATCAGCAAAGCTTCATATGATGGACTTCCAGTCCGAATGCCCTTCTATTTTCAGATCTATTCATTCCAGTCTATTCCTACCCAATCCTCACAATATGCAGGCAAAACCAGCACTGGTGTTGCCAACTCAGATAAACATATTGTGGGAATTTATTATTACTATTGCTACTGTGATGATGATGATGCATTTATATATCCTGTCTTTTCCCTCTTGCAAGGAGCAGTTCAAATTTGGTTTAAAGAAAACAGTCCCAGCTGGGGCCTGGCAGCTGCCCTGTGGCACATGGTACCTCAATAGCACCCATAAATTACAGCAGCTCCTTCTAAATGTGCACAACTGCTTTGAAAGTAGCACATGCAAATATTTTGCAAATCTGTATCTCCCTTTCTCCTCATTTTGGTGAGGGTTTCTTTTATTATAGTTCTCTGACCTTAATCCAGTGTTGGAGCAAGCAGCCCATCAAAAAGAAGACTGCCTCAAATAGTGAAGGGAGATACCCGGCCACCCTACATATACCAAGAGACTGCCAGCCATACTTGCCCCGAGAACTGCATCCCACAATCGTCTCTGAAGTTCTGGGGTTGGCAGAAGGCAACCATTTTGTTTCCCAGCCCATTTTTGTTTACAGTGGACGAGTGGATAAGCCTCCCATTTCGGTGAGCTGATAGTGCACTTGGCCTGAACATGTGTCCAGCCCTCACTGCCTTGCTGGGGGCTGAGAGAGCCAGGAGACGGCATGGGCAGAGGGGCAGGTCTCTTACCTCTACCAGCGCCCCACAGGGGCTGCCATGTTTGCATAGGGATGGTGCTCTCCTCACCCCTCAGGGATCCCCCAGGCAGGCACACCTGGTGCTGGCGTTGCAAATGCCGTAAATGCTGGGCAAGGGCCCGAAACCTCATTGTGTATTTTTAGGTGCCCGTTTTTACTTGGGTTTTATATCGTAGTTTTGAACTTGTAAAGAATCTCTAGTGTGCTGATTGCATTCCAGTGTGTTCTATGGTTTGATTGTTCTGAACGGCCCACAGGGCTTGGGCCATTGGTCAGTAACATACTGGGTAGAAACAATAAACAAATGAATGAAGAATGAAATAAGGCTGGAAAGTGAGTCGTTTTCTGGAGCATAGCTGGAAAAACTGATGGTGGTGAAGAGAAGCCAGTAAAAGCTCATTTGGGAAAGTCCGGGGCAGGGATCAGCAGCACTCTCCGCTGGCGCTGGGCAGGGGTTCTAGCAGCTGCCTCAAGATGCTAATCCCGGCCTTGCCGTCACATCTGGGATCTGTAAGGCACCCCCCACCCCCTGTCAGTTTAGCTAGTGGCTTGAATTTCCTTCTCTTGCAGAGTTAAACATGCTTAAGCCCATTGATTCCAATGGTACAGCTCACTTAAGTCTGTTTTGGATTATGTCCATTATCTTGAGCAATGAAAACACGCTCACGCACACGCATGCACGCTTGTCAGCATTTGTTTGCTTTTGTTAGGTTTTGCTCTTCGATTTCAAAACACTGATCCTTCGCTCCAAATTGCACTGTTATAACAATCAGTTATGCTGGACTGAAAGCCTGACAGCCTGGTTTCATAATGCAGACACCAAAATCAATGCAGAGGCAAGTTCAGTTCCTTGGTCTGAACTGGATACCCCCTCCCTCCCCCTTGGGAAGGACTCTGCTCCAAATATAAGTTGCGGTGGGGCAGGAGGCAGGGGCATTTTCCAAAGGAAGAGAGGCTACTTCAGCTTTCTCCCACTTGGTGACTTCTAGATGTGTTGGACTTCAACACCCATCCTATCAGCTCCAGTCAACATGATGGGAACTGTAGTCCAGCACATCTTGGGGATGGAGATAAGAAGGGCCATGCTGGACCAAAGCACAGGTCTATCTAAACCAGCTTCCTATGGCCTAATGGATGCCCATGGGAAGCCAGAAGGTGGGGAGGGACTCTCATGCCCAAGCAATTGGAACTGAGAGGTGTACATTTTAAAGGAGAGGAGGAAACACACAGCCACCAGGCCCAGACATGCCATTAAAGGCCTCATCCTTCATGGCCACTCCTGAGTTAGTCTGATGGCCCACCAGGCTGAAACCTCTGAACTGAACCTTTGCCTGCTTTCTCGGATGGCCCCTTCACTCAGAGTCCACCTCAATCAAGATGGGACAGCTGAGGGCATTGGTGGCTGGAGGTTCTGGGGGCTAAATGCCCCAGCATCAGAGGTGCCGTGTCTATGTCGGCCAGTCTTGGAGGATGCTCGGCCCTTGTGACATCCATCTTGAAGAGTCTGGTTGGCTAGTCTGAAGAGGAGGAAGCCGGACCTGATGGACCTTTGAGCAGACCCGGTAGGGCTCTTCTTAAGTTTTCCAACACTACACCCCAAAAAGAGTCTCCAAAACCTTTGCTGAATCAGTGGCCGCAGAAATGGATGCAGCCGCTGTTTGGATTGGCAAGACACTCTACCCTAACCACAGAAATAAGCAATCGTCTACATTTCCTTTGCCACTAATTACTTTTCTTAAACAAAGGATGTTCCTTACCCTTTCTTTTGCCCTGAAGACAGGACTGTGAAATATACTCTAGTTTTTGTTTGCATTTCAACTCTTCATGGGCTGTGAATAGAGAAACTACTGCCTAAATGGATGGCTGAAACCAAAGCGTGCCAAAGAGAAGCTGCCAAAGAGGAGAAACGAAGCAGTCCTCTTCAAATGTCAAGTCACTGGGCTCAGCAACGTGCCACTGGAGTCTCCAGTTAATTTGGTTGACTCCTCGACTTCTAGAGGACGTCTTCATGACAAATATTCCTTTTGCTGCTGCGAATTTTTTTTGTCCCGTTCTCAGATTGAAACAGGGTTAAAAACACACACACAGAGCAATGAACTTTTTTTGAAGACTTTGTTAGCAGCCCTGGGGAATGTTATTTTCTTTTTGATGAGATCAAGGGCTTGACTTACAGCTTCTCTGTTGGATGGCTGCCGAAAGATGTCACCGTCTGAGTTGTCCCATGAAAGCTCCCCCTCACCTGTATACAAGAGACAAACATGACGTATTACAGGGGTCAGTGTTGACCTCACGCCCACCAGGGGATAGCAGAGCAAACATCCACAAGTGCAGCATGTTTATTCACTTCTAGGAAGGGGGCACAACACTTTTAGACCACATTCTGTTTTTGCAGTGATCTGCAATTTTTGTAGACAACAACACATGAATCTAAACTTGCACAAAAAGTCCTATTTAAAGACAGATAAATGTGCATGCTTCAGGATAGTTTTATTTGTTCCTCAAAATATGTATTTTAAAATGGGTGGTGGGGATTTTCTCAGCTGCAAATTGTCCTGAAACATCCTGGAAGTGCTAAAGTTGGTAGATAACTAAGTTTAGATTCACACATTAGTTCAAGGGCCATGAACCACAAAGCTAGTGATATCAACAACGTCAAAGCAGCCCTGTGTGGGAGAAGGATGTAAGATAAATGGGAGAAGGATGTAAGAAACTATGTACGAAAGCCATATTGCTTAATAGTTTGGATGGCTGCTGAGAATAGGAATAATTTTGGCCAGGGGAGCAGAGCTTTCAGCCAGGGGCCAAATCTGGCACTGGCTTCAACCCTTTTTCTTTCACGCCAACCCATCACAGCTTCCCGGTAATGGAATTTGGCTTTCCAGCTCAGAGGAGTTCTACACCTCCAATTGAGGCAAACAGTCTGGAGCCATAATCCAAGAGGAGATCACTTAATATGCCCACACCCAGTTCAGGCATCCTGTATCTGTGTACAGCAAACATGTGAGAAGGAAGAAGATGCTAGCTTTGCCCTTTCTTCATTTGCATTCCACTCCCCATCCTTGTAGAGGCAATTTTCTGAAAAAAGACATTCTTTTGTGCCCATGGACATGCTCCAGAACACTATGTTTCAGCATGCAAAGTCCCATGAAGAACCTTCAAAAAGATGGGGTGATGAAGGAATGGCACGGGGGCAAGGCCGTTCTTCCCTTTCTTCCCCTGTGTGGCATTCCTTGCTTTGGAATGGCTGAATATTCAGGGATTCAGTCCTTTCCAAGGTCTGGAGAGCAGTGTTAGTTCAAAGAAAAGGCTTACAGGACCTTGGACAGATCATAAGAGATGGCTGCTTGTGCCAAAGGCATCCCAGTTCCAATTGAGCTCCTTTATCTTTCCTCTCTCTCTACTCTCCTCCCGAGGAGTGATGGTATTTTAAGTCCTTTAGCCCTGGAACTGAGCACTCCACTGTCTTTCTGTTAGTTCCCAGCTGCTGTGCACGCTGCTGAGGTACACGGACACTGAGGTGGGGGACACCTGGCATGCTAAGTCCTTTGCAGGAACGGATTCTGGTGCTCCTGGGCTTTGGGGTGGCCAGGTACAAAGAGAGAGGGCTTCATCCTCTAAGTGGCTGGGTAGAAGAGAGAATGTTGGCAGGCACAGCTTTTCAGGCAAGCTACACCTGCCAAAATGTCTCTTCTCCTGAAACAAGCCCAAACCTTGTTTTACAGGTGCTTAAGTGGACTCCGGGGGATGGTGGAGGCCTGGAGAAATGCTGTCCATGGGGTTGCGATGGCTTGGACGTGGCTTCGCAACTGACAACAACTCCATTGGGTGACCACCTTCAGGGCTGCAGTCAGGGCCTGCGTTTTTGTGGGTGACAGCAGCAGCCTGGATCACTTTGGTTCTTCCACCAATTCATGACTCCTCACTGAGCCTCGGGTCACGACAAAAGTCACACAATCTCATTCTCTCCTCCTCCTCCCTGCACATTTATATAACAGCCCAATCCATCCACCGGTGAAGCATCTAAACTCATTTCATTTCGCTGAAAATGCTAGGGCTAAATCTTAAACCCAAGAACATGGCAAAAATTGTGCAAGCATGTTGCAAACAGAATTCAGACTTCCAGGCACTTCAGACTGACCGACATATCAAATAACAAACGCTTTGCTAACATTTCATGTAAGCAAACCGCTCCATCAGAGCCATGCCAAACCAAAGGTTGAAACAACACTTATTTTCACGGTGCTAATACTTTTTGGTTACTTGGAACAATGATTTGAATAAAGTGATGAGAACTCTGTTTCCAAGCTCCAGGTTTTGAAAACCCTGACGGGGTGTGGCATAGACAAACGGTGGCTCTTCATTGCAAAATCCAACTTGCCATATACGGTTAAATTACATGCCAACATCCCTTAGAAGCTAAAAATAGCAGTTCATGAGCAGAGAGATAAAAACTGTTTATTTTATCCAATGGAAAACATGGATCGTGAATGAGGGTGAACCTCAGCCTCTTTTATATGTGTTAGCATCTCTCCTCTCTGCCTGCACCACCACACTGCATTGTGCTGGGCAGCTTTCCACTAATATTTACTTAAGAACATGACAAGAGTCCAGCTAAATCAGGGCCAAAGGTCCCCTGCATTTTCAACAGGGAGACTGCCAAAACTTTGAATTAGGCATGGTTTTTTGGTGGGGAGGGGGGTAGAATCTATTGTTTGTGATGCCTGTATGTGTACTGAACTGGGATGACTATCCAACTATTTCTATTATTCAAACTGAGTTTGCCCGATGAAAGCATCTAAATTCTGCCATTTCTTCCAATGTCCTGCTGTTGGTTGGCTTCATCCTTCTTTTATGAGGGAAATGAAAATGTCCCCTTTGTTACATGGACGCTTATGAAATGGTATCATGACTCTTCATTTACCGTTTTCTAAGTCAATCACTGTAAATGTTTGGATCAGAAACCTGGAGAAATGACCACATGGGAAAGTTTCCATCCCATGTTCAATATTTTTACCCAACTTGTGCATTTTTAGCTTTTCTTCCTTGCCACAAGTTTGCTTTTATACAAGAAAAAGGCATTGGAAGTTCCAGTCATGGGACTCCCAGTCAGGTGTAGTTTGGCCCTTAATGGTTTCCAGGACAGGACACCTGACAGGATGCTGACCTTCAAAATGCAACGGCTGCCTTGCTGCTGCTGTTGATTTATGAACCTGAGCCTGGAACAAAATAATATCATTCCAATTCAGGGTCCAGAAGCCCTTTCAGCCCAAGGGCCAAATTCCATTTCGCAGAAACTTTCAGAATCACATGCAGGCCAAAAGGGCTCAGGCCAAAATACCAAAAATACCCAGAGTTTGCACCATGGCTCACCACCGGCAATTAAGCCGTAGGGGAGACATCTGAACTGCCTGGAATGGGGGGCGGGTGAGGTGCACCAGGGTCGGGAAGCCATGCAACCGTAGGCAGTGCAGAGGAAAGGATGTACCCAGAGGGGGATCCGAGACAGCTACACGTACTCTGGCTGAGCGAACGCCACGCTTAATTGCCAAGTTCTCCATCGAGGCACTAGTTCTACAGAAGGAAAGCTCTTACCTCTACATACTGGACAGCATGAATCAGGCGCCGAAACCGGAGAGGAACAAGTTAATTTGGGGCATGTCTTTAAGCCACAGTACACATTTCCTTCCTGCCATCAGAGATTGAGAGGGGGGGGGGGGGAGAGAGAGAGAGAGAGAGAGAGAGAGAGAGAGAGAACTAAGAGCATTAGTGCATGATACAGACACGTTGATTCATACAGGAGACGGTTGCCATGGCACCAAGGAATCCTCAAGTGCACTCTTTACCTTTTACGAAGCGTTCTTTAATGGCAATGAAGATTAAACATGATCTGTTGTGTGTGTGAGCAACGTACTCTCATGTCATTGCCCTTTCAGTAACCCAGATTCAAAGGAAGAGGAGGCATCGCTGCAATGCCAGGACACGAAGGACAAGCCAAAGCTCCCCAAATACCCTGCCTGCACGGCTTTCAAACTCTATTTCAGGAATCCTGACATTCCTCGGAGGGTTTCTCAGCCAGATCAGAACAGGCAGATAAGCTTCCCTCAGAGCAGGGATGGGAGCTGGTTTTGCTGTGCTCAGGTTTTTGACGAGAACGTAACAAAATTTGCAACGTCTTCATAAACAGAATCAAAAGAGCTTGAGATTATAAGCAAAAAACTGAATGACAGAGTAAGTGGAAGTGACAGATGTATCTATCCAGACCCGAGGCTTTGAGCGCTTAGCACTTCTAAGTCTGCTTTGAACCCCCATGGTTCAGATACTCTTTTTTCTGCTGAGCACCTCATCTTTTACAGGTGCATGGCAGGAAGACACACCATAATCCTTTCCAAACTGGGAATTGCTGTATATACTGACTCTGACTGCTGCAGATGCAGGAGAAGTGTTTTGGTTCACTGCTTGATAGTAACTTACTAAAATTTGCAATTTATGTATATGAATGCCAGATACACCCAAACTTAAAGAACTGACCGCCCTTAGCTGAGCAAGCCTCCCTTTTTGAGGTGCTCTCTTTGAAAATACAGAATCTTATTGGTTCAAAAGCCCAGTGAAGATATTTATAAATATATTTATAAAGGCTGTTCATAACTCCTCCTCCATTGCTGTGGCTATTCATAAACTCCCAGTGTTCATTTGCCTTTGCTCTGCCCACAGGTGGTGGGGAGAAGGATGAGCCAAAGATGCTGCCCTTGTCCTTGCTCCCTGGCTTTCTGCTCACGAAGCGAGCAAGTGGAGCTAAGACAGGGGGGAGGAGGAGGAGCAAAAGCAGCTGGTCAGCGAGCCCCTTCCTCAGTGAGCCCGTTCTCGGCATCTCGGCCAGCGGCCCTCCAGAGCCGGGAGCAGGCTGGAAGGAGCAATGCCCACATCTCTGATGCGAGGTGGAGCTGGACCTTAGGAAAGGGCCAGGAGGCTTGTCTCCCAGTCTCTCTCTCTCTCTCTCTCTCTCACACACACACACACACACACACACACACACGTACAATCGTGTTACTTACAGAGCAACTGCACTGGGCGCACTGGTTGGCTTGCCGGTTTTGGAAGAGGCCCTCTGCCACAAACATCTCCCCATGGTGGTAGGTTGTGCCATTGTATTCGCAGGACTTCCCCGTGACCTTACTGCCCATGGAAAATAGTGAATCATCTGGAAAAGATGGGTGGAAAGGACAGGGAAGCGATTAGCGAAAGAAAAAAACCATGTAACGTGGTAATAATGTGGAGAATGGAATAAGAAAAAGAAAGAAAATATTTAAAATGCTCCAGCTGGAAAAGGTTCCCGGAATGGCTACTGGAGATTAATATTAAGGCAGCTGCTGCCCGCAGGTTTATAATTTAAAAGTGACAACACAGAAGGGAAAGGGATTGGGAGCGAGGAGGGAAAGCAAGCACAGGTGCTGTTTCCTTCCCCTTACAGCACCCCGCTTTGCTCTTCCCTGCTTCCAGGCAGGGTGGTTGTGCTGCAGTCCCTGCCAGAGGACCATGCTTTAGAAACAAAGAAACAGAGTGAGTCAGGAGGGACCTCCTGGGCCATCTAGTCTGACCCCTGGCTCCGGCCGGCTCCACTCATGACGTGCCTGCTATGTGCATGCCCAGCCTATCCTTGAGCACCCTCACCAATGGGGCCTCAACAGATGGGGCTTTTAAAACTGTTCTGCCCCAGAGAGGTCTGCCTGGTGCCGTCGTTATTTGTTTTTCAGCGCCAGGCTGAGACCTTTTTATTCAAACAATATTTTAATAATGTCTAATATTTATTGGTTTTAATTGTGCAGCCAGGGTGTTTCCAGGTTTTAATTGTAATTGTAGTTGTGTTTGTATTACATTTATTTATTTCTGTGAGCCGTCCCAAGGCTATATAGCAAGGGGACGGCATATAAAAACTTTAAACAAATAAATAAATAATAAATAACTTTGCGATTGCATCCATCCCTAAGCGTGCCTTTGTGCCATGCGCATTTATGTTCCTCAGCAAGCAAATGAAAGTCTCATACAAACCATCCATGAGCAGACCATGGAAGGAAAGATGCCTGGCAGTCTGCAAAACACAGACGGAATGGATTTAACAGAATCCATAATCCCCATCCATGGGTTCATGGAAAACAGTTATTTATCAATCACAGCACTTATCTAACATTTTCCACCGATGGCAGTTTCAGGCAGCTTCATTCAGGCACCGATGGCTTTAATGTGAACAGCAGAACGATCTGTGCAACCCATATCTCCTTGACTTTGCAGGTGGAGTGTTCTTGAGGATGGGAAATGCACGTTGGAAGCTGGTCTTTCCTGTTCTGGAACAGGTTGCCTGGCGGCCAGGAGGGGCTGAGGGAGACATGGCCACCAAGAGGACAAGGCAACATGAGGAACATGCCGGCACTGGTGCAGCCCGGGCCCTCAATGCAAAGCCTTGTTGGGGGATCTAATGCTGTTGCTGTAAGCATTTCGTCTGTCCTCGTTTCCTCCGCTGTCCTAAAGCGGGCAAAGTGATGCAAGCAACATTTCTTGCCTGGAGTTTACAGACTGCGAAAGGTCAGGTCCCCGTCCCAAGGTCCTTGGAGTTCAATGCAGGGGAATGAGAGAGAAGAAAGGGATGGAAGGAGAGCCCCCAGGGATAACCACAACCCCAGTCCTTGCTGACCACTGGATATGGGGCTGAGGCCGTCTTCCACCTGCCACGCAGTGCAATGGCCACGCTACCATGTTGCATGGCACCCTGGTGCCCCCCAGATGTTTGATTCCAACTCCTGTCTGCTTCAGCCAGCACGTCCATGTGCAGGAGCTGTAAGGCAACTGGGAGTCGTAGTCCGATCATCTGCAGAGCTGCAGACAGGGAAGGCTGAAGGATGAGACAGCAATGATGTGTCAAATGTGTCACGGACACATGAGAGGCAGCATCAGCCCCACAGTGGAGCCGGTGGATGTTCAGAGTTGTGCTCGAGTGCTGGGCAGAAAGACGTCACACCCCTTAGCTGGTTGGGTTAAGCCCAAGTGGTTGCCGATGTTCACCCTGGCTCCATGCTACAAAAATCCACGTGAAACGTGCTTCCCTTTCGCTCCAAGTGCTGAATTTTAACCTGGGAAAGGACTTGGAGGCGGTTTTCCATCTGCAGGTGCTGTCAAAGGGAAAACAGGCAAGTCCAAAATGTGGTTCTTGCCAATTTTACATCTCCTTAGAAATAAGCAGGAGAAGCATCTGTCTGTCTGTTCACAAGTCAGTAGCACTAAATCACTCAGCAGCCTTTTCAAACAGCATTCAAACTAACCATCCTCTGTGTGGCTACTCACAAGTAAGCACGCTCAGCCTAGGACTTAGGCCGAAGTGGTCAGCCTACTTGGTATGGAATCGGTAACATTAGTCCTGGGAACATTAAGATGTTCCCTTTCATCCACAGCCAGTTTTTGGTCAAAAAAAGTATTATGGAAAATGGAATGATCAACAAAGTGTTTGTTTGCTGGAACATGAGCAATTGGCATGTGAGGAATGCACAAGGGTTTGGAGGCACAGTGTCTTCCTTGACCTGCACAATTCATGCATGGCTGCAGTCCATTCACATCTGTAGCACAATACCATGTAAAAAAAACTTTCCAGAATTATTAAGCTACTGAGGAATGTTGGACGGATTGGCTGTTGTTGTTGTTTCATCTGTCAAGCTGGGCCCTCAACCGAAGGAGTGAGAAGTTTCAGATTGTAGGCACATGATCACAATGGCAACTTTCTCAGGTCTTAGTGTAAACCCTTGATTTTGGCATGCTTGGTCCCCCAAGCCTGCAGAAAGAACAACCCTTTGAACAACCCTGAAGAAAGAGGACAAGGAAAAGTCTGCACCTCTGAGTGGCGCAATGTGTAGAACATGCCACATGTTGCATCCCTGGAGCACAGCCGCGTTTCCCAGCTGCTGCTCTCCATACCAGTCCAGCTTGGAATTCCCCATCAGCCTCAGCCTGCCCAACCAAAGGCAAGGGATGCTGGGAATTTGAGTCCAAACTGCTGGAGGACTCCAGGCTGGTTCACACTGGACGTTTGCTGTCCGTTGGGGCAGATGTTGCAAAACGAAGTCGGTGAGCAGTCATTTTAGTTTGTGCCAAAGCCAAGGGCAGGAGGATTCCAGGCTTGTGAAGTGTACCTTGTGGTCCCTGTTGTATTGATACCAGAACCCAAAAGTCCCCAACCTGAGCCAGTGGCAATCTAGTCATTTGGCAGTGGTATGCATGTCGGGGTGGTGCTGGGTAGTGAAAAGATCTGAAGCCCTCCGGACAAAATGTGGGGCAAATTTAAGGGATGTGTGTGCATCTTTAAAGAACTCTGCCTCCCAAGGACGTACATTTCTAATGCCAAACGAACAAGCAGCACGGCCAATCTTAGCCGCCAGCCTGTTTTGAAGCAGCCTGTTTTACACAATGCCCGTGCTTTTAATAACAGCTGCACAATCCATCACGGAAATGTGGAAAACTGGCTATATTTAGAAATGCTTGGCTGCTACAATTTTTGGAAAGGGACAAAGAATTCAGGGGAAGAGAGGACAGAAGAGATGCAGGAAATGGCTTTGCATTAAGTCAGACCATCGTTATCTAACCTGATATTGTCAACACGGATCGGCAGCCACGGATCTCATGTTTTTCCACACCAGTCTGAAGATCTTGGGGACCAAATCGAGGAACTGAATGCTCTAACCCTAGAGCAGCCTGGCTGGGGCTGATGGGCTTTGCAGGACATCTGGAGGGTACTAGGGAAGGTACTGGGGCATCTCACCCCGAAGGTCACATTTCAAGGGAGGGAGGCTCAGGTTTGAATCTCCACTCAGCCCAAAAGCCTGTTAGAGGACTTTATGTCCATCCTTCCCTCTCAGCCCACCCTACCTCAGAGGGCTGTTGTGAGCATCAGATGGTGGTGGGAGGGGAGGGGGATTCAGTTGCAGGCAGGCACAAAAGGATCCTGTGAGCTAAATGCACACAAAACAGGTTGGAGAATTTGGGGGGAGGGGGGCGTGTGCTTTGAAACAGGGCCCTGTGCACATGGACCAGCACATGGGGAAGGGAAAGACTGAGTCACTCATGTGGTTTGCACAGAATTCCGCTGATTCCAGCCCACGGAGGCCAGGACCGACTGGCGGAAGGCTGACACATGTGCCGAGCAGGCGCCTGGCCATCGCTGCTGACAGGACCACATGAAAGGGGCTTCCTGAGACCTTCCATGGGCGGAAGCCATGCGCCTCCAAGAGCGTGTTCCATTAGAAGGGATGGCATCCAGACCAGCCACTGAGGACATCTGAAGTCTGCAGGCTGCATTCTTGTTCTCTCTCCCTCTCTCCCCCATCTCTCTCACCCCCCACCCCCATCACTGTCTGCATCATCGGGCAATGGCTTGCATGTCCGAACGGGTGACCAGCACCTACCTAATGCCAGAAATGGCCCGTTCTTATCTCGTCTTGGATCCCTTCTTTTCTCATGAATCAGTCCTTCCGTCACTTGTCAGTGATCAAACATACAAGCATGAAAGGCGGAATCCTAACTGGGGGGAAACTGAATTGAAACAGAGCCCCAGAAGCTCACATGCTCCTTACACCATTTTATCCTTGCAACAGTTTGCGAGGCAGGTTAAACCGAGTGCTTGACCAAGGTCACCCAGAGGACCTTGGGGCTGAGTGAAGCTTTGAACCCGGAGCCCCCAAGCAGCCCGGCACTCTGCTACTCCTCACTAGCTCTTTCCAGCCTAGGTCCAAAGTGCTGATCTGTGCCTCCTTGGAGCACATGCTGGCAACACTCCGATGAACATGGACAGCCAAGAAGAAGGGCTACACGACTCACATCCTGGCTCTTCAGCTTCCGCCCAAGCACCGAGAGGTCTGGGAACTGAGGAAGCTCTCTTAGATGAGGTCAGGAGTGGTTCATCTAGCTCTCAGGGCTGCTGGCAGGAGCATCTCCACCAGAAGCATCTCCAGATGCTGGGAATCGAACCTGGGATCTCCTGTGTGCAAAGCAGGGGCTCTGCCACTCAGCTGTGGCCTCTTTCTCGGCTGGCATCCCATTAATCATCAAAGCATCATTTGCTCCTGCAGCCTGAATGTGGTTTGGGTTCCCGGTACAGAAGCAAGCTTTGAGTTTCCCCAGATCCAAACTTTGCCAAATGGAGATGCAACAACACACTGATAGTAGCGCACTATCTGGAGTAGGGCACGGAGGCCAGAAGCTGCAAATTTCAATATTAATCTGATTAAAATTGTAAATGCTAAGAACATTAAAGCTGCAATTTTTCAAACAATGAAAGGAGGCATTTTATGAAAACCAGGGCCATAGATTTCCCTGGCACAGAATACTTCTACTTCTTATTTAACACAAGACTTTTTTCTTTCTTTTTAGAAAGAATTAATGTCAGAACTATTGGGTGATGTTATTTTCAAAGAGAGCGGGAAGCTTTCCAAGGACTTAAATGTACTTTGAGGAAAACTGAGAATCCATCTGTAGATCAATTGGACTTCAGCCGTTTCAGCCCCAAATCCTTCAGTGGACTGTAATTTAATATTTAAATAAAATAGAAAGCGATTTGGGCGAGGGCTCAAGATTTTCTTTCCAAACTCAGCTCACCATGTTACCTTGGAGCAGTGGTTGAAAGCGGCGAGAAGGGATTGGGAAGGAATCCACCACCAAGTAACTGCGAATGTGGACGCTAAGTGCATCCATATGTGCGCTCAACCTTGGGAGGCAGGTGTCAAACACATTATGCTACCCAATGCTGTTTGAAAGAAACTTCAAGGGCTCTGCTAAGCTCGCAAAAGCCAGCCCGAGCCAACGACTTCTTCTCCAACACAGCCGGCCAGTAGCACGTGCGAGATCACCCACGGCTCGAAGTGATTAAATCAGTGGGGTGGTACTTGATCCGCCTGCTTTCCCACTGTATCAGGTTAATGGTAAAGTTTCACTTCTGATGCTCGGGTTTCTTCGGGTTTCTTGGGTGAGACTTTGCCCCTCTTCAACGCGTTTGTGGCTCTGGGCATATGGCTTAATTTCCGGTGTTTTCCTTTCCTTTTTGAACCAAAATGCGGTGGCATAAAGCAAATGCTCTATGAAAGCCCGCGTGTGAGCCATCAAAGAGGCATTTTTCATAGCTCTGTTTTAAATTGCACATGTGAGGCTGAAAGGAGAAGTGCTTCGAGGGAGCAGGCTGCCCAGAGAGCCGATGCCTTTGCGCCACTCCGAAAGAACAAAACAGACACCTTGGAAACCCAAGCCTGGTTGGGCAAAAGGTGCTGGAAAGACATACTGCTGGCCACAGAATTATTGCCTGCTCATGCAGGGCACTTTTCACTAGAAACAGCACCAGGGGCTGGCTTTGCTGCACCCTGGTCAAGGCCCACATGCCACCACCAGGATCCCCTGGCCTCATTCCCAGTTCCCTTGCTCTCTTTGCACAAGCACGCAGTGGAAGCGGAATCAGTCACCCCTGCGCTGGGGTGGGGGGGCATGTACCCTGCTTTACAGCCCTCTATTTGAAGGTTTCCTCTCTCTGAAAGGCTGTCCCAGCCAAGTCTGTTTTAAAGAGCCATAGGAAAGCGAGAGGCCTGGGCAATGCCCATAACCAGAGCAGAAACTTGTTGGACAGCCAAACCCTTGTGATGGTGTCTCCTCTCAATTTCTGTTGGGTGTGAGCAACACGAATACAAGGGGAGGCTTGCCTCAAGAACTGGTGTAGTGGGGCTGCGGAAGAGCCGCCAGCCCTTCGGGGGTCCACAGTCAGCAGCCCCGTTGGAATTGTAGCTTGCTTGTTCACTGGCCTCTCGGTCCAGCCCTCTGTGAGAAGGAAGCCCCGCAGATCTCGGTATTCCCTGGCTCTCTCCTCACTCAGCAATGGCCTTGGCCTCCTCTCAGGAAGGCTGTGCGTGGAGGGCTTTAAGCTACCTCTGGATCAGGGCCAGTGTGCTTGTGCACACCTGTTGCTGGGCAACATGGGGGTGAGGGTGCTGTTGCACCCACGTTCTGCTTGCAGTGGGTGTCTGTGCAAACAGACGGCTGGGCTGGATGGACGCCGGGTCTGATCCAGAAGGGCTTTTCTTCTGTTCTTAATGCTTTCCTCTGTCCTCGTGCTCTCCACCCATCTGATACGCAAAGCTCGGGGGTGTTTTGCAGAGTGATCAGTGTGGGGTAACAGGGTTAGCGGGAGATCAGATGGCTCAGGAAAGAATGTGTACTCAAACACGTGAAGATAGGCTGAAAATAATGTCGATCTATGCTTTAAAAATACAGATGGGTGGGAAAACTTCACATAATGGACAGAATGAACACCCACTAAAATGATGTGGGTCAGAAACCCCCATTCGTAGTCTGGAGTATTGGAAGCAATATGCCCAAAGACTGAAGATTTTCCATAAGGTCTGGCTGCTTGCATGCCTTGCCTGATAAGTTAATTACAGAATACTTTCTTCCTTATGGTCCAGAGACGCTCCTGCCCATATTTAGGGGCCAGTACATTTGCATGGTCACGTACTTCCCTCTCCAAATTATGCCATTAAAAGAAAAGGAAAGAATTCCAGCTTTCAGATTTTGAAATCCAACACCCAAGACAAACATTGTGCCAGCCAAAGCACCACAAAGAGGCCATTTTTAGCACCGGATAAATAAAAAACGGAGTGTTGCATTCATAGAGGAGGGTAGCAGAACGTCTGAAAGGGTGTCAGCTCCCAGCTTGCTCCAATAAAATGAACGGAGGCCTCAGAGGCAGCGGCAGTGAAGGCCGGAGCTGGTGGCGGGGTTGGGGTTGGGGTCCCCTCCACGCCGCCCCCGTCCAACCATCCCCTGAGCACACGGGCCTCTCTTGTCATAAATGGAGTGTATAACAAGGTTTGCTGCATGAAAGCGTTCATTGTTATTCTTAGACAGGGAATTTGTCTGTTTGCTCTGCTCTGGCATCTTAGCAGGACACATTTCAGGGAGCCGGGCAGTACTGAGACAGACGTTACCTGGGCATCGTGGACAGCACAGCTGTGGCACATGGATCGGGCTGGGACAGTGCAAGTTCGGGCACCTTATGCGGTTGCATAGCACATTCCCATTCTGGGGGAAAGAAGGTGACAAGGAAAAGGGTCAGTTTTCTTTTCCACAAACACTTGAGTATTTCAGCACTCTCCTAAGGTCACCTCCTTTGACCTCATGACAACCTTGCATTCTGTGGATGGAGAACCAAGTCTGCCAAATGCTTATGCATGCGAGTTTTTGGCAGGATTCCATGAGTGGGCATGAATCCCTCTTCCCAAGCTTTCCTTACACAGCCTTCCAAGTTTTTGTGGAGGTGCAGAGATTTTACATCAGCTTGCAAGCTATTCTAAACCTCTTCTCCCTTCGCATTGGATACGGTGCACACTGCACGTATGCGCTCTGCATGTATTTAGTTCCCAAGCCAAAGACGAGAGCTCAGAATGAACTGTTCAACTCTCCTCTGAGTCATCAACTCACTGGCTGGCATTAAACAAACTGCTTCCTTGAAGCCTCAACCCACAATTATCATAAAGGCAAGTGTTGGCCTATCTGGAAGGCTGCTGTCCATGGCATGGATATGGCTGCATACATTCTGTGATTGAATAAAAGGTTCTAGAACACATCTTCCTGTTCTGCTCTGGTTTAACTGCCTACATGGGCCAAACACTGACTCATAAATTCACCAACAACAGCAAAATTTGAGGGTATTCATTTTGGCTAATGCTTAGCATTAAGATCTTTGATAGAAGTCGTTTCCATGTGCCTTCTATCAGAGGTAGATGAGTAAACCAAACTGGATTTGAGGAGGAAGTTGGCGTAGAAGACTAGTCATGTCTTCCAAAGTCCTGCCACCTTCTTTTCTTCTTCTCTGGAATGTCCCACATGTTTAAAATCGTTGGGAGGGGGAAATTGCTACTTTAGCTCCAGGTTGCAGGAAGGGATACAGAGGGGGTTAGATCCAGGCAAGCGGCATGGAGCCAAACTCCCCTCCAACATGGCCACCTCTGGCTTTGCAATGCCCTGTTCTCAGGCATCCCATTCCTGAATTCCGCTGGTGCTAGAAATGTGCAGAAAGGGGATGCAGGGCACTCTTGGACGGATGCTTCCAAAAGTGAGAAGGACCACGTCTTTTTGCCTAGCCGGCATCTCACGGGGTGGGTTTCTCTGACTTATGATGACCTTCCAGTGCATCAGTGCCGAAAATGAAGGAAGCCGTATCAAGAGCCATACCTCTGAGCAAAGACAGTTAACACAGTAAACAATTCCATAGGGTTCCAGGTACGGATGCCATCGTTCGCCTACACGGTACTTTTTATCTTGGAACACGCAATATGTCTCTGAATCTGCAACGGAGAGGAAAAGCTGTGAATGGATGGATGGATAAGGGACATGAGCCAAATGCCACACAGCACTTCATGCCTCGAATGTAGCCAGGACACCTTTTACTGGCCGGGTTCACACTTGGGTTGTTGGGATATTGCACTGGGCTGTCATGATGCACAAATATCACTGTGTTAACAAGCCACGGTTTGATGGTTTGTCAAACACAAACAACTCAGAAAGAGAAACCATGGTTTGTTGTTGGGTTTGGAACTCTGAGTTATTTAATCCACAGAGTATTGTTGAGTGTCATCCCAGGAACTGTGGTTTATTCATAGGTTGTTTCTTTAGGCTAAAGGACGAGCGGATGATCTCAGTCTTCCATGCTACAGTGAGGTGCATTCTATATCCATCTAAATTATGCATTGTATTTCCATTTAAATTAGGATTGGCATGCATTTATTCTAAATTCGCATCTACACACAAACATTAGCATATTCGGATTTTATATGAAGTATGCATCCTCACCTGTCCTCTTTTTGGTTGGGAGCCACCTCAAGCCCCATGTCCATTTTGGAACAGCTGCCAGTCTGATGCATCTCCAAAGAGGCAACTTGTGGAGGTAAGCTACAATTTCTGGGAAATGTTCTGGGAAAATAAGGCCTTCACCTGCAGGATCTCCTACAGAAGGAGCACTGAGGCCAGCCTTAGCACCTGAGCAGGTATGAATGGGAAGAGACAATCCCTCAGGTAACCTGCCCCAAAGCCATTTCGGCCTTGCATGTTAATACCAGCACTTTGAATCAGGCCAGAAAAGGTCTGATCATCAGCACTGATGGAGAAGTACTGGCCTAATATGCCCAGATCTGGCTGTCCTAGTTTGAATTGTTTTCTAGAAGTTGGAAGGTTTATTTTCAAAGGCATCACCACACATATTGCCTGAATATGCAGAGGAAGGCAGGATGTGCTCCAACGGAGCAAAGCTCAGGGAGCCAAGGTTTCGTTTGGATGCCAAGAAGCACTTCCTGACAGTCGGGACCCCGAGGATGTGGAATGGGCTTCCACGAAAGGTCATGGAGGCCCCATCAGTGCGGGTGTTCAAGGATAGGCTGGACGTCCACATGGTGGGCATGTCGTGAGCGGAGCCGGCTGGTGCCAGAGGTCAGACTAGATGGCCCAGGAGACCCCTTCTGACTCGCTCTGTTTTCTGTGTTTTCTATGTTCTATGTTTTTTCTGAAGAGCTGCACACACAATTAAATTTGCCTCTTAGGGATAGTCACCTGAAAAAGTTCTTTTCAGCTTTGATTTCATGTATGACTGGCATCGTACCCATCCCGGTTGCTCAACTTGGCCTATATCTTATTCATGATGTTATTAATTAATTTTATGATGGAACTAGTTCTAAAAGCAGAAAGATTTTTCCATGGAAAAATATAGCAGTGGAAAAATTTCCAGAAGATTTTTCCATTGCATTTCAGAGCATTTCTTTTGAGGAAAATATTCCATCCCTGGCCGCTGCTGGATTGCAATCAGCGGCGTTGATGGGGGTGCCGGCAACTGCAGCAACAGCTCTGCAATTGGCCTCAGGAAATCGGAACCAGAGCTGGTGTTCTGCTCCCAGAGCCTGCCCCTTTTCCTTTGAGGGAGAGATCTGAGAGGTGGACCTTGTCATCGTTTGCCAGGAATCAGAGAGACTGTCTTGTAGTGGTGCCAGGGCTCAAAGGGACAAAGCACTGGGACTTTCTGACCAGAAGGAAGATGGGTAACATCTCCCAGGTCCTTCAAGCTTCACTGTTCCATCTGAACTTAGCTGCTATTCACACAGTAGATGGTTTTGGGAAGAACAGATTTTCTCAGAAGTAATGTATTGGCTGGATTCAGACAATAGCCTACACTTAAAGGTTGAGTGCAGGTTGTCCTGGAACTGAGAGTTGGCATTGACATGCAAGTTACGATGTTCTCTGAACCCAGCCAAGGTTAACAACCATGGAAAATAACTATGGGTCCTCTTCATAGGTTGGGTTACCAAGTGATGGCTTGTTATCTTGGCTTGTTGTGACTCCACAGTTCAATGATGACCCACACTAAACACTTGAGTGTAGGCTATTGAGTTGTCCGAACACAGCCAAAGTGGTGAACCTTTTCTGTCATAGTGCCAAGAATTTTTTGTGGCAGGTGGGGGAGCTTGGTCCAGAATGGGCATTTACCTGGCACTTTCCATTTTCAGTGCACTGGCAATCAGCAACTCCTAATAAACTATTCTTTCTCATGCACACATTCTCCCTTTCACCCAGGCCAACACAGATGCTTGCATTCTTAGAAGCTCCTTGGTGGCACAGTTATGGGACTACGTGGAAGAATGCCTCATTGCAATGCTCACCATTGCATCACTGTCGCACGCACATGTACTCCATCGCAGGGACACCCAGATGCTCATCTCCTGATCTCCCTCCTCACCACTGTTGCCTGAGCTCTGCTCCTCCTGCTGGCCCTAGGAACCCCTTTCAGCTTGGTGGCCAATGGGCAGAAGTCCATGCGTTCATGTGTGCACCAGGCTCTGTGTGAGCACAGAACACACGGAACCCAGAGAGGACCGTTTCTACCCAGGAGGGAAAGTGATGCCACCGAATTTGACAAGATCGGGAACAGGGAAGGATTTACTTACATTTTCCTTGCTCCGTGTTCGTGCCCTCGTTGAAGAGGAGGCAGAGCACAGAGAAAAAAATCAATCGGAAGTTCTCCAGCCTCCACCTTCTCCTCATCTTGGCTGGGTAATCAACGGAAAGTGAACCTCCTTCACTGGAGAGGACGCAAGAGCTGTGGGAGAACAAGACCTTGTGGTTACTTCAGATGGGCCAGGCCCTTGGCAGTGCCCTCTTCCAAGGCAGATAGGCTCAGATTAGCAAAACTGCAGAACAAGAGGCAAATCTGGAGAGATCTTTTGCTAATGCGGCAGTTTTGCAACTCCTGCAAAGTCTTGCTACATGGGCTCGGGTGCCGTGGGAATCCCTGCATGTGGCAGAGGATCCTGGCGTGCGGGATAAGCAGCTCTCGCAATGTGCTGGGCAGCAGCCACACCTAAGAACGAAGAGGAGTCGAGATGAAAGAGACCAAAGGCTTGTCCAATCCTGCATTCAGTGCACACAGTAGCCAACCAGACGCCAATGGGAAACCCATAAGTAGGACATGAATGCAATAGCACCCTCTTACCCATGTTCCCCAGCAGCTGGCATAGAGAAGCATGCTGTCTGAGACCAGTGGTCCCCCCAATACCCTGATCTGCCACAGTTTGGTATAAACCACCTTGGAAACCATCCAATTTGGTGGTCATCAGAACATCTCACGGTAGTTAATTCCATAGCCGGCTTGTGTACATTGTAAAGAATTTCTCTCTTTAATCTGAGAGAGAAAGAGAAAACAAATGGAATGCTCATTCCTTGAGCAACACCTACATTTTTTAAACGAAGACAATCTGTTTGCTTTGTTTTATGATTTCGATGCATCCTCTAATCCTATTCTCCTAAAATAAGCCACTTAAGGGCTGGAATGAGGTGAAAAAAAAAGCATTTCCAAAACATAATCCTGCGTATGTCCATTGCGGATTCTTTTTTTAATTGGAAGTTTCCAGTCTGACTATAAATAGACTTTTTTGTTTGGAAAAATAAGAAGCATGTTTTAATTTTTCCTCTGAGCAACAGCTTCTTTAATTCCTGTGTTAATTTGTGAATGCCATTGTTCCCAGGGTGTTGCCCTTTTTAGCATCACTACGAGGCTGTTTAAAATTACACAATAGTTAAAACCAGAGGCAAACATCCGCTTCCAAAAAATTGGATTAGAAATGTTGGAAATGACAGCGCACAAGGCAGACCAATATGGCGCACGACGGCCATGCCCCACTTGGGGTGTCCCAACGCTTTGGTGCACTGCTCCCAACAGCCCCAGCCAGGATAGCCAGTGGTGGGGGAGCCATGGAATTGCAGGCCAGAATGTCAGGAGAGGCACAGATTGCCCATCCATGGCATATGAGAAAAGCAAGGGTTGGATTCATTATTGGCCGCACTTAGACTGACCCACGAGGCAGGCAGGAGCCGAGACAAAGGGAAGGTCAGGAACTGCCAAGGACGAGATGCTAAGCAGGGTGTGGCAGGACTGGAGGCAAGAGTCAATGCAGGACTGGAGGCCGTTGCTAAACCGCTATGGATATTGCAAAAGCCCCAACATCAGAAGCGTTCAGGAAGGATATGCTTCAAGACAGTCTTCCCCAGCCTGTTCCCTTCTAGATTTTCGGACTAGAAATCCTTTCAGGCCTAGCAAGTTGGTCAAGTTTGATGGCAGCTGTAGCACAGACACCTGGAGAATGCCATGTGGGTAAACGCACTTTAAGAAACAATGGAGCAAATACGAGGGTCTTTCAAAAAGCATCGGCACTTTTTACAACTCTATTTATTAAGAATGTCAAAAACAAATCACACCACTTTTCTACATAGGCTGCGAGGCACCAGAAAGCATCCAGGGGTGCCAGGGAGCACGGCAGGAAGCAGAGGGTGGTGCTTACCAAAGCGTCACTAGCCAGCATCCCATCAGTCCACAGATGCACACATAAGGCTCAGTTAACATTGCAACGAATTGAGATGACCAGGAGGGGCATAAGAACCTACGTTCTACCAGACAGGACTGCAGGTCCCTTGCGTCCCTGATGAGCCAGCACTGCAGGGCTGCTGTTCCCTCTGGGTTTCTGATGAGACTTTTTCCCAGTCGGCCCTCTCTGGGCACAAACGGGCTGGACCTGGGCTCTTTGGCACACAAAGCACTGGACGATGTGCCCTTCCCATCCCAATGGGCCTTGGGACAGGGTGCTACTGAGGGCAAACTGCTTGCTGTCATCCATAGGAGGGATTGTGTAATACTTGGGAGTGGATTTGGACTAGTTAAACCTTCCTAATTTAATGGCTCGCTCTGAGAATAAATGAGAAATGAATGGTAGAGCACTTTGCGTTGTGTTGCGAAAGCAACACAGAAACAGGTTCTAATTGGTCATGATGAGTAAATAAGAATAGAATGACCAATCTACATTTCTATGGAGAGATGGAAAAGAAAAAAAGCTTTGCCTACAATTTAGGACAGAAACCACACTTTAGGCTATTTGCTATCTTCTTTCAGTGACACGTTCTTATTAGATAATTTAAGCCAAACATTACACCAAAAAACAAATCCCCAAACAAACATGCTGAAGAGGCAAAGCTGTTCAATCGCTTATCCCTTTGTCTATGTTTTCTTTCAGAAATGCATCCCATTACAAGATTACTAAGACGAAAGCTTGACCATTATTATTTAAACAACAACAACAACAACAACAACAAGAAGCAAAAGAGCAAGCTGGCTTTTGATTGAAAGCTGTTTTGGGTAGAACAAGGAATCTTCCCGTCAAAAGATGCAAATGTGAATTACAAAGATGCATATACAACTAAATTGCAAATATGTATCCAACTATTCCCTTTGAGCCAGGGTTGTCCATCTCCCACGCTAACCTCCAAAGCTTAAATTTGTGCTGGATTCTGTCCAGGAGTTGTTTCCGAAGGACTTGGTAGGGTTTATGTTATGAATTCCTTTCCTTTGCCATTGAGTTTGTGCAACCAGGCTCACCAAATATCCTTGGGCTTGCAGAACAAAAGACTGAATGTAAGATAGACTGCAGCCATGGGCCAAAGAACTCCACCATGGAGCCAGGTTGGTTTGTTGTTTCTTGGGTTTTTAAGCCAAGGCCTATCTCTGGAACATGCAAATCCATAGTCTGTAGCACATGTCATGTACAAGGGGGCTTTCCCACACCTTCAACTCATTGCTACTAGTGTCCATACATCTAGGATTAGGATGAACAAATTCCTAAGCAGAGTGGGTTGAAAAGCCACAGTGGGCACCTTTCTCTTTATCTGGACAAACGGTCCATATGATCACATTAAAACGCCTACAGCCACATCCTAGCCATCTCTATGCAGAAGCGTGGACCGCTCCTTCCACTGGTCTTCCTTCCAAGGAGGCGCACACAGGTCTGCAGCCCGAAGGTGCTCCAAATTTACATGGTGAGAAGGCAACCACAGATTGATTTATTATCAGCATTGTTATTGTTGCGTAAATACAGTTACTCATTTTTAATTGAAAAACGCAGAAGGGGCTCCCAGGTAAGTGCAAGATTTATTAGTAAATGCATCACAGAAATGTTCAAAGGAGAACAGTTCCACCATGAAGGAAGCAAGCAAGCGGCACTCACCTTCGGGAAGCAATGCTCAACTCACATGGGCAGTTTGGCTAGTTTGTCTCAGAAGAAATGGGAGCCCTGCAGCTAGAAGGGTCCACGGGTGATCTGGTGGGCGCAGGGTTCGGCAGGAGGTGCCAGGGAATGGGGAACGTCTTTGTGAGCCGCGAGCGTGGGGCTGTCCGTGGGTGGGATTGCGATTATAATGTAAGGCTGCAAACCTGAGTAATGCCCACTCAGCTCAGTGCGGGGAACTTCGGAGGAGACATGACCAGCCAGAAATTCACTCTGCATGGACACGTCCGACGAAGCGGGCTTGAACCCATGAAAGGTTTTGCCAGAAGAAAAGGCTGGTTTTTTAAGGAGCAGCAAGGCAGCGGTTTTGGCTGCCTGACCGGCTGCCCGTCTGCAAATCTTCTAAGCCGACGGACTGCGGCCGCAAGGACGCATCTGCCCGGAACATGTCCTCTTGACCTGAGCGGGCCCCCTCGGGAACAGGGACGCGCGTGGAACGGCGGCGTGCAAAGGTTCCCTCGCCCAGCGCAGGCTCCCCGCAACCTCCCCCGGTGGCCAAGCGGCCCGGCCTGGCCCACGGGCAGGAGAGGCAGGGCAAGCGCACCGTTCCGCACGGACCTACCTGACCGGTTCCAAGCGCGCCGCTCCTGCCCTGCGCTCGGCACGGCGTGCGCGGCTCCCGCGGGGCCGAGGGGTGCGAGGCGTGGGGCGCGGGCGTCCGCGGGCGCAGGGAGGCGCGGGCTGCGCAGCTCTCCGAGGGCGAGGAAGGCTGCGCTCTGCACACGCGGGCTGCTCCCGGGTCCTTCAAGGGGCGAGTTACGCCTCCTCACGTTGCCCGCATGGGCAGTGCGGGGAATATATAGCGGGGAAAACGGAGGGGGTGGGAGGGAGAAGGCGCGGCTCTCGCCCGATTCCAAGAATAAGCGCGCTGGAAGGGCGGCGAGCTCTTGCCAACAGCTCCTGGCGTTGCCAGAGACGGGAGGGCCCAAAGCAGGGGTGGAGGCGGCGTGGGGGGGGGGGCGCCCGGGGGACACCTGCTGCGCGGATCATGCGCCCCGACGGCCGCGGCTGGCGGAGCGGAATTGCAGGCGCGGCCGGGCGGTCGAGCGGATGCGCCGCCCACCCGCGCTTCTGCGCCTTGGCACGCAAATGGCGCTCGACACGGAGGTAGCACCGGGCGGAGTTTCTCACATTCTTGGGGGCTGGGGGAGGCCCGGGCGGAGGGCGGGTGGGGGGGGGGGGCGGTGCGTGCGCCAGAGGCACACGAGGGCCAAAGCGCGCCCCGAAGCTTCTTTTGTCTCGCCCCAGGGCAACGTGCGCATCCCGGGCTGCCAAGACGCAAGGCGGCGGTGCGCGCGCCGAAGCGCACACGCGGAAGACCCGCGCCGTTTCGAAACGGCGGCCCCGCGCAGCCGGAGACCTCCCCTCGCACTTGCCAAGCTCCGTCCTGGCGATGGCTTTGCCACCAGTGCCTTTTCTTATTTTTTAAGCCAG